AATTAGATTTCATTACAGTAGTTTTTTTATACCTAGCCGATGATTCTGGACCTTTTTTCCCCTCACACAATACATCTGACCTAAAGAACACAATGATGTTTTGTCAACTTCCTGAGCATTAAACAGCACATCCAGACAGACTTCCCCAGCAATCACACTTCAGATTTCACAAATTTTAGTTAATGAAGGGGTTTATTATGTGTGAGAGAAAGGGCCTTTGGACCAGGGGCGGCGTTAGGCCCGGCTACTTGGGCTGAAGCCCCGGATGTTTCATGAAAAGCCCTGGATCTAAATCGCGGAAGTAACATGCAGTACCAAAGTCCAACAGAGAGGGAGCAGCTGGCAGTAGTTTGTATACAGCCTGCCTGAGCCTCCACCACTGAAGAAGAAGCCCTTCAGCAGCCGGCTTCTTCTACACTCTCTGCCTGAAACGCATGAGTGAAGATGGACATAAGGACATTTTTTAGACCAAAAGTACAACGACAGAACCCCAGCTTTGATGAGACTGGTGTTGACTCAGGTTTGTGAGTCTTATTTGAAAATATTTGTTGTGCTGCTGGTTTGCCTAAAGTTAGCTTACTATCAGGTAAAGTTGTTGGAGAAAGAAAGGGAATATTTACTATCATCTCACACTAAACACTAACAGGAACAATACTCTGCCCTGAAAATGCTTAATATGTAGCTTCAGATTAAAATTATGTGGTACAAGACATATATGATGTTGACTAGTGCGTGTCACGTGTGTGTGCGCGCACGCGTGTGTGTATGTTAAGCCCCGGATCTTCTTCAGTCCTAAATCCGCCCCTGCTTTGGACCAGAACCACAGTGCATTTGAAGCATGCAGAACTGAATAGAAGTACAAGAAGTAGTCTAATACAGCTTTTGTTGGACTTTAATGTTATTTGAATTTTCATTTGAGCCAGGGGGCAAAAAAAGCACAAAAATCTCTAACAAGGAGATTTAAATCCACACAAATTAGTCCTGTGACATAAAAAATGTCTCATGACTCTGCTTCAAAGTATCCATCTACCCACACAAATTTATAAAAAAAACTTTTGATCTTAATTAGTGAAAAAAAATCACTGAAAGAGCTACTCTGTTTTCTCTCAGTGGGTTTTTGTCTGATAAGCTTTCTGTGATTTTCTGCTGAGTTTATTCTGGTCGTGGCTTCTAGGAAAACCATGTGTGTGTGTGTGTGTGTGTGTGTGTGTGTGTGTGTGTGTGTGTGTGTGTGTCACTAGTTCGATCACATTAATTGAAGGTAGAATATTTACGTTTGTCTGTCAGTGATTGGGATCACAAGTTGGTGCATCTTTAAAGTAGATGCTGAGCAAATTCTGTTCATTATTATTATCATTGGATCACCCAGCCCCGGTGATCAGCCCGACACCGCCCCTCCTCCTCCTCTCTTCCAGGCTGCTGAGGAGCACAGCTGATCTGAATCCTGCTGATGACCAGCACCTGGATAAAAAGGCTGTGCCTTCAGCAGTCTGGGAGGCAGCAGTGCAGGGGTTCTGCTGTCCTCCAGACCACATTTTGTTTTCAACCCCTTCGTTTGTGAGGAATTTTAACTTATAAAAGTTTTAACTCTGATTTGAGGAGTTTAAAGGAAAAATCTCTGAGTGATCCACAGGAAACTTTGGTTCATGTCAACTTAGTTGACTGTGTTTTAAGGTTAAGTCTGCTTTAGTTTTTAGACTTTTATCAACTTTATTGTGTTTTTAAAACCTCTTCAGTTTAGGTAAAACTTTTAATAAAGTTTTAACCAGGTGTTTTATATAGCTGATTTGTCTTTTAACTGTTAACCTTATAGTGAATTTTTCGTTTTGCTTTATTTTAATAATGCTCACCATCTGTTTGCACTTGTTTTTAGAACCTTTTATAACTATTAAAACCATTTTAACTCCACTGTCACAATTCTTCTGTTATCCCCTCCTTCACAATTTAACACCTCCTGTCAGGGAAGTAATAGCATTTAATGTCTCCAATCCTAGAAACAGCAAATAAGCTGTGATGGAGTAACTTTCTTCACCAAAGGTAAGGAGCTGTTTTCATTATGAGTGGCAATTTGTTGCTTAGCAACAAACGGTTGCAGCCTAGAGTTCTATGTTCGCCTACTCTTGTTTACCGTTGCCTCACAAAGATCACTCCGTTACACTATCATGTTCGAATTGATCTTCTCTCATGCAGTAAATATAACCATTCATTACTTTACTTTGAACACCACATCCTTTCTAAGATAAATTTTGTATTGGTGTTTTTTGTCAAAGGAACTGGGCTTTTAATGTGTTATTTTAAAAGCAAGTAACCACCAACTTCTTTGCTGATAAACTATATAAATGAGTGCAGTGTTTAATTTGTAAATCAAACGTTTCTGAAATGTGAATACTGATGTCAAACCAAAGTTCACTAAAGGTAAAACAGATGCTGGAACATGTGTGTGTGTGGGGGGGGGTTGACAAGTAATTAAAATTGCGCCCACATTTTCTAAGGCCTAGTCCACACGTAGCCGGGGTTTTTTGAAAAAGAATATCCGCCCCTCCAAAAACTTGCATCCACACCACCGCGTTTTAAAAACAAACTCTGTCCACACGTACCCGGATAAATACGTTGTTAAGGACATGCCAGACCTGTAGGCGGCAGTACTTCCCCCGTTTTTAACCTCGTCCTTCATCTGTGGTCTTCCGCAAGGAGCAGTAATTCCGCTTGCAAAAACAAACAAGCAAAAAGCGCTTGGACAATTGATGGATCGGGTAGTGACAAAGCGCAGCTCCGAGGGCTTCCATGGTGCCGGCTAGTGTAAACCGTAAACACAGGTCGCACACGTGATGTCAGCATTTTTTTGTCGCGGAAAGTGACGTTGCGGACCTGAAAAGTCCGGTTTTGTCCGTCCACACGCAGACACCCAAAACGGAGAAAACGCAGATCTTCACTTTGGCCGGAGTTTTTAAAAAGATCCGTTTTCTTGTGGAGGACAGGCCAAAACGTAGAAAAATATCTACGTTTTGGCAGATCCCCGGCTATGTGTGGACAGGGCCTAAGTTAACACACATTTCTTTTAACAACGGTAGTTTTTGCATCTTTACTGTTCCCCTGCTTCAGCCCTCTCCCCCTGCGCAGCGGCCACAAACTCACTGATGTGCCTGCAGCCTCTCAGAGTTCCTGCTGCTCTAAACATTGAAAGAATAAATTCATTTTCTGTTCCTCACTTCTGATTTCCTTCAATGGTGTCTGTTTGTTGCAACCACCAGGTACAAAAATTAACTTGTTTTAAATTAACTGCTACATGGCTTCCTGTATTTTCACCTCATGAATTATTTTAGAGCTGCAGTTCAAAAAGATCTACCGACTGCAAAAATAGCGGGAGTGTGCGCCGCGCGCAGACCGCACAGGTGCGGTGAAGTCACCAGAGGACAAAACAGGTGACAAAACACATCAGACACAACTAGAAGAAAGCAGAAAAGAATATGAGCCGATATGAACGATCGAGTGTTAAATTTGTTTTGGGGGTGGCGACACTTTGAGAATGTTACTGTGGCTGTTCTCAGGACGCATCTGTCTGGAGTGCGTCAACAATCAGAGCTCTGCGCCTCTTAAGCTCAAAATAATTCCTGGAGAGTCCACATGAATAATGTAATATAAGTAGAACCAGGATCGTTTCGGGGCTCCCCCTGGGTGTGCTGAGGGCTTCCAGGAGCTCTGTAGCTCACCCGTAATTCGAATCCTGCACAAGTTTGTCACGTGAGTTGCTAGATCCTAGCAGACGTTTGCCAGAATGGTCCTTTCAAAATAAATTGTTCCCGGATCTTGTTCCGGCAAGATCTGGCTCAAATTAAGCACTGAATGGGTGTCTAATCATGCTGTAGACACGTTTAGTCAACATTTTGGCACGCTAGTGCATCTTAGTTAAAAGTTAAATATTCAGCAAAAAACTGTGTGTTGTGCCCTCTTCAGGTAAAAACTCTGCACTACATTTGAGTCTAAATCTGCCATCGCTATTGGCTAAGGGGTACGAAATTATGTTGGCTGGTACATTATGATATCAGATTGTTGTTTTGAGCCTGTGTGTGTGTGTGTGTGTTAGCAGCTGGTAGGGGGTGACTTGCCCTTTAATTAGCTTTGACTGCAAATACAATTCTCTTACATGTTATATTTCTCTAGTTTAGGTAAGTTCACTATAAAATAGTGATTATGAAAATAAACTATTTTTAAGATGCCCTCCTGAGTGGTCAGATTCGATCAACATGTAGCGCGATTGGCTTTATTAATAACTGGCCAATCAAAGTCTCTAAATCTGATTATCTTTTGTTTGTTTTACCAAGCACAAATAAAAAATGCATTCATTCACTTATTCTTCCAAGTTCATCTTTGAGATCAATTAGAATCAGGCAAGTTGGCAGGTCAGAGGTCTTCTATACAAGAATCAGAGCATCTCATCGATTTGAATTCCTCTGTCACTGAGAAATTAGACGTGAGAAAAAACAAATGACCGTTAACTTCCAATAAAAAACCATAAAACCTCTCATTGCAGTCAGTGTGATGCTGAATCACGGGACACCTGGCTTACACTTCCAAATAAAACATCTTAATTTAATAATCCCTCAGTTTTTTAATTCAATTTGATGCTTCAGTGGCGAGGAAGAGCACAACAAAAATAAGTTCAAGCCCCTGAAGGCAGTGTGGAAGTTCAGTTATCCAGAACATTGTTGTCCCTGATTTTATTATTTCAAAAACACATTTTTGAACCAAAAGTTCTAGCTGAAAACTGGGACATTCATTTAAAATCAGCCCTCAAGAACAGCTGAATGATGTAGGCGCCCGTCTTCGTCTCCCTGTCTGATTCTGACTGCTGCTATCAGACTCTCGCAGGTTTCCAGCAGCCATGTGAACCGGCGTCTGTACTACAGCTCAGTCCGAGAGGGGGTGAAAAGCAAGAGTTTAGAATAGAATAGAATAGAATAGAATATAATAGAATAGAATAGAAGTGGCCAGGTGCCTACCTGAGGAAACGCAGCGGCTCTATGGTCTCAGCCTCCGCCTCAGCTGAGCTGTGGTTCATCTTGTCCATCTGTTTTCAGCCAACACGATGCGACAAACCAGAAAAAGGATGAGCTGTTCTCCTCCGGAGGAAAACACTTCCGTTCCTTTTCCCTGACTCTGATTCAATAAACGCCCTGTCTACCTCTCAGCCTGGGAAAGGACTGAGAAATCCAAGCACACTCCCTCCCTCTGTATTCCTCTCCACAGCTCTTGATTGGTTCAGAAGCTGGAAGGTAATTACTGGCTACAAGTGCACGCACGCATACACACACACACTCCACACACACACACATACATACTGAATCTTGCCTCAGTATCTCTCCTTGCTGTCTCTCGCTCACTGTGTCCCCGGCTCAGTCTGTGATGAAAACCAGTTGGCTGTGCGGATCAGCTGCTCACACGGAGAAAGCCAGCCAATTAAGAATCAGGAGGCACGGAGCTCGCCGGCTGATTGGCTCACACCGCCACAATCACAGCTGTTCAGTCATCTGAGGAGCAGGAGCTTGCCGTCACCTGCACATTCACACAGACAGACTGACACAAACACATCATCTCATGCTTTTGTAGCAACAGGAACTCCTCAAGTAGAAAGCGTAGTGCATGCTTAGTGCACAAAAGACAACATTTTTCATTCTAAAAGACAATCTGAAGGTTGAGAAGAACTGAATGGACCAGCTGTCTTATGTTGTAAAGTTCTACCACAAGGCTCAAACAGAAATAGGATAAGCTCATAGTCTTGTCATGCAAACATGAAACTTGTTTGTTCATGTTAATCATATCAGAGGTAAAATTCTGTGTTGCATCAGAAAGCTGGACATTCAGGCCTTGTCCACACGTAGCCGGGGATCTGCCAAAACGTAGATATTTTTCTACGTTTTGGCCTGTCATCCACACGAAAACTGAGTTTTTTCACACGAAAACGGATCTTTTTAAAAACTCCGGCCAAAGTGAAGATCTGCGTTTTCTCCGTTTTGGGTGTCTGCGTGTGGACAGACAAAACCGGAGTTTTAAGGTCCGCAACGTCACTTTCCGCGACAAAAAAATGCTGACATCACGTGTGCGACCTGTGTTTACACTAGCCGACAGCATGGATGCCCTCAGAGCTGCGCTCGCTTTATCAATTGTCCAAGCGCTTTTTGCTTGTTTGTTTTTGCAAGCGTAATTACTGCTCCTTGCGGAAGACCACAGACGAAGGACGAGGTTAAGAACGGGGGAAGTACTGCCGCCTACAGGTCTGGCATGTCCTTAACAACGTATTTATCCGGGTACGTGTGGACAGAGTTTGTTTTTAAAAGACGTGGTGTGGATGCAAGTTTTTGGAGGGGCGGATATTCGTTTTTAAAAAAAACCCGGCTACGTGTGGACTAGGCCTCACTGAAGCCTCACTTGTTTGCACTAAATCTGGTGGGCTGCTTATATAAACATTCATCGTAATTAGAAGGAAAAAATCTGTCACCCTCATTCCTCCTGCTCTATTAAATCAGCTTGAAAGGGTCTCCAACAACAGCCGTTGAAAGACCTTCTTGTCTTTGGAGTTGGTTTGTTATTTTCGTTGCTTTTAACTCCTCTAACAATGTTAACGCTGCAGTTTTATTCAGATTAAAGCTTAAATAAATAACTTGCTGTCAAGTGATTTCATTTAAATGATCTGAAACCTGAGGAACGGCATCTCGTTTCAGCTGGTGTAGTTTTGTGAAGACCACAAGAAGACGCTTACTGATTGAAGGTATGAGTTTTACTCTATACCGAGCAAACCATGAAATCAAACTGACAGAGCTACCCGATTACTTCATAAATAGTGCTTTAAACATTTGTTTTCTCTGTGGGGAAGTAGTGGCTCAGGAAGGAGAGCGGGTTGTCCAGCAATTGGAGGGTTGTAGGATAGAGCCCGGCTCCTGGCAGAGAATTCTGCTGTTGTGTCCTTGAGCACGACATTTAACCCACCTTCTCTGCTGATGGTGGTCAGAGGGGCCAATGACAGCTTCATTTTGGAATAAGGTGCTGTGGACTGATGAAAGTAAAATTGAGTATTTTGGGCATAACAAGGGGCGTTATGCATGGAGGAAAAAGAACATTTCCAGAAAACCACCTGCTGCCTACAGTGAATTATGGTGGTGGTTCATCGTGCTGTGGGGCTGTGTGGCCAGTGCACGGACTGGGAATCTTGTTAAAGAGCAAGTCACCCTCTACTAGATTCTAACTCCACTCCCATTACCTGTTTGAAAACTGTGCCACACAGACAGGGCCGGATTATCATTGCAGGGGCCCCTGGGCACAATGTGCTTAGGGCTTCACACCACCAGTGCGGTCTGCGCGAGGCGCGCACTCCACTGTTTTTGTGGTCGGTAGATCTTTTAGAACTACAGTTCAAAGGTAACTCATGAGGTGAATATATATGAAGCCAGGTAGCGGTTTTTCTTTAGGATTGAGAGGAGATGCAGGAAGATAATAAACAGACAGGACAGAAAAATAGTCAAATAAAAACAAGTTAGTTTTTGTACCTGGTGGTTGCAACAAACAGACACCATTGAAGGTAATCAGAAGTGAGGAACAGAAAATTAAATAATTATTTTAATGTTTAGAGCAGCAGGAACTCTGAGAAGCTGCAAGCGCATCAGTGAGTTTGCGGCCGCTGCACAGGGGGAGAGGGAGGGGGCTGAAGCAGGAACGTGTTGGGGGAACAGTAAGGATGCAAAAACTACCGTTGTTAAAATAATTGTGTGTTAACTTAGAAAATGTGGGAGCAATTTTAATTACTTGTCAACTTTTTTCTCCAACGTTAAGACTGCTGCACACAAAAAAAAATTTAATAAAAAAAGACTGCTGCTTGTGTGGGCCCCCTTGTGGCTGTGGGCCCCTGGGCCTGTGCCCAGTTTGCCCATATTATAATCCGGCCTTGCACATAGAGGCATTGCCTGGCAAACAGAGAAGGCCCACAGTGGCATTGTGACATCATACGGTACCAGCTAACATCATAGGGTACCTCTCAGCCAATAGCAATGGTAGACTCTAATTCACTAATAGGGCAGAGTTTTTAACTTAAAAGGGTGCAAGACTGACAGTTTTAGGCAGAATATTTAAATTTTAACTAAGATGCACTAAAATGCCAAATTATTGCATACACATGTCAACAGCACGATTAGACATTCACTAGTTTATCGGCAAAAAAAGTAAATTTGGGGGTGACATGCTCTTTAAAGCTGAGGGATGCATGGATTCCTAAGAGACCAATGTCCATGAATATGTAACAAAGCTGAAGCTGCATCGGGGCAGGATCTTTCCGTCACGATGTAAATCGGGGGGAGGTTAGGACCCAAGATGCAGACCCAGGATGGCACAAGGCAGGAGTAGTGAAAGCGTAAAATCCTTTATTAGGGATAATTGTCCAAAGTAATATCCAAAGGGGCAGGAAGCCAAAAATCTAAATCCAAAAATCTAAATCCAAAAATCCTAATGCGCAAACCTAGAGACCAAGAGACGACGAGAGGGGAACGAGACAACGCTGACATAAACAATGGACCAACGACACAGTGAGACGCAGACAGGGTTTTAAACACAGGGGCAGGATGACTGGGAGATGAGCTGCAGGTGTGTGGGGGAGAGAGAAACTGAGGAAACCTGGTGAAATCAATTTACTAATCAGGAAGAGGAATCTAAGCTGAGAAGGGGAAATAAAACATAACCTATGAATAATAACCAAACCTAAAGACTAGAAGAACCAGAAAAATAACTAATGATCTGAGGAGAAAAGGAGAACTAATAAACCGGTGGGGAAGGAACAAGGATGGAACCTAAAAGAAAACCTGAACCTATGAAAAGTACTGGGGAAAACTAGCTAGATAATATAATTACAAAGAGAACTAAAGAATAGGTGAACCTGGGAAACCTGGTGGGAGCTGGAGACAAGAAAGGGCACAGGAAGCTTGGGTACACATGAGGGGGATCCTAGAGGGACACCTGGAGGGGTTGGGGAACACAAGGAGCACAGAAGATTAGAGGCACATCTGGAGGGGTTGGAGACTTGAAGGGGCACAGAAGCCAAAAGGGTAGAAACTGAGTGGGCTGGGGAACACAAGGAGGCACATGAGGAACACTAGGAGACACATAAGGGGGACGCAGGACGCAGACCATGACACTTTCAACAAGACAACAACCCTAAACAATGCTCAAAATCTGCTAGAGCATTCATGCAGAGGAACAAGTAGAACGTTCTGGAACAGCCATCTCAGTCTTTATATGGGATTAGATTTGTGGCAATAGGATCAAGAAAAAACACTTTGGAGATCAAACAAATATTAAAGGAGACATAACATGAAAAACCCACTTTTTTATCCATTAACACAGTGTGTTTCACATTTTAAGTGTCTAAGTGAGCAAAAAGGCTTATATTATTCACTGGAGTTGCTATTTAGATATTTAATAATTAAGTTTTGGGCATATTTGTCCACCCGTTCAGTTTTTACATTATCTATTACATCAGTAATTAATTTAGTCAGGATAACTACCAAATATGGTAATGGCCCTCGGCTAAAGACAGAGCCAATCCGCCATTTTTTCTTCTCGCTAAGATTTTTTGTAGTCCTATTGGAAAAATGCAGAATGTCTGGTTATTTTAGCCACACACAGCTCAAAACTGTTCCTCGTTTTAAGGAAGGGTGGTGTGGCAGTATTTAAACCCAGGAGCTGATGACACTACTGCTAAAAAAAACACAGAAGAAAAAGTAGTGTGTTTGTGTTTGTGTTTGTGTGTGTGTGTGTGTGTGTGTGTGCGCGCGGTTCATTCGTTCGTGTCTCCTGGCTAGTAAGTACCGAGGGCTTCATCTATCTAAAAGGAGTCATTTGCATCTGAATGTGGCAGCACCGGGACACAGCAGCAGAGCGGTAAGCTTCATATCACTCTAAAATGTCGACAAACTTTACTTTAGATTTACGGGCATTAGCAGCACTAAAGCGTTCGCATCCGGCTTGCTATCGCTAGCACAGTATGCTAGTAAAGTTAGCACCCAGATTAATGTGGATTTGGCTGATTTTCGTGGAATAAAACGTGATTTCTGATCAACGCCTTCTTTTACACCAGATGATAACTTCCCACTGATTGTAACAGCAGAGAGCCTGTGTGTTATTCTACATGAGTGTGATGTAATCTTAGCATCCAGTAAATAAAGTCCCATATCAACTAAAATGCAGCGTGACAAAGTCATTAAAGTGCGTCAACACAGTGGATTTAATAGTTTTAAAGAACAATCTCTGAGTGGAGTGAGGTTAGTTTTTTGTCTCACTGCAGATATAAAAACTAACTTTATCAGTCAGACACAGCAAAGCTCACCGTCTGTATGAGCGTGAGCGTCGGAAAGCTGATAAAATCGGCTGTAAAATAATTAAAACAAAAGTAAAAATGCTACTTTGCTTTTTAGAGTCCACATCCAGAAGTCTGGAGCCGTGTTTCACTGACAGGCTGTCAGCCTAACGCCCTGATGAGCTCAGCTGGGACAAACTGGTCTGATGTTTAGGTAAGTGAAGATCTGCTTCTCCAAGTCCTTGAGATGCTAGTAAAAAATAATTTAGCCAGCTTGCTAATGTTACTTTTCTTCTCCTCTAAGGAACACAGAACGTTCAGATGTTGGCGTTTCACGTCACCTACTGAGGAAGGAGACCCACCAGTAAAGAGATGGTAGCTGGACCAGACCAAAGTGAGTGATGACACACCTCAGCCATCCTCATCATTAAGAACACCTCACCACCTGAATCACTCCGTCTGATGACAGCAGAGTGATTTATTTGATGTTTTACTTGTTTAATCTGTTTAGAAATTATTGAATTACATTATTTTCTGTAATCGACCATCTGATCTGGACGTGTACAGAATAACTTTCCCCAAGTTCAGCAGCAGCTGGCCTACAAAAACAGCTGCAGCATGTAGTAAGTCTGTCTGCACTGCTCTCTAATGAGCTTCCTTTCATAAGGAATCATTTGTATAATTTTAGTGTCACTATTTTATTACATTTGTAAGAATATGAAGTCATTGCAGCAAAGTGAACTTGTGAACAAACACAAACGTGACTATAAACATGAAAGCTAAAGAAACAACTTTCCTAAAGCTGCTTGTAAACAAAATATGTCATTAAAGTTATTGTCTATCATTGCAGAATATGGCGATGACATCATGGAACTGGTCTTTGGAAAAGTTTTCCCTGAACCAACTCCATTTCTAGATGAGGTAGAGAAGATCTGCATCTCACCAACTCTCTGGTCTCAGTATTCAGACAACGGAGGTCTCCCACTGTTATCCAGGACCAGTTTGAAGCCCACATACTGCCCCTCCCTCATCATCAGGAAACATCAATCCGTATCCTGAGGACAACAGAAGACGACAGGAGGACAGGAACTCTGAGACCTAGACACCACCAGCACCGAGACACAAAGCACCTGTGTGCACAACGCCTGTTTAACTACTAAAGCCTGTTTATTATATTGTTCTACTTATTTGCTGTGAGGTTAATACTTAGAAAATTTGTATATTAATGTAAACAATTTAAAAAAATCACTGATTGTATGTTTTCTTTTAGATGTAATGGTCCAAACTCAGCCTTGTAGACATTTATTGCATCCTGTAGGTAAATACACAGAACAGGCTCAGATCCAGGATGACCCAGCATGCTCTTCTTCCATTCTGGCTGTTAGGGATTTTATGAATAACTCAATGCCTACTGATGTTTCCACCTAACGGTATTTATTTAGAATGCAGGTAAGATTTAACTATATTTGTTAGCAAAGCAGACTGATCTTGGGAATTTCACTGCAGCACTGATGTCCACCTCTCTGTACACATTAGAGAGAATTACCACTTTACAGCTAAACACATTTAATAAAGATATAGGCTACGCATTGCAGACAATAAAAACTAAGTTGTAAGAATTAGAATTATAATGATCACATTAAAGAACATTTGGAGGAATGTTCTTTATTTTTGACTAGAATCTCAAATCTTTAAATTAAAATGTTAACTGCTTTTTATCCATTTTCAGCCATTAAGACACCCAAAATTAAAATAAGACTACTTATAAAATTATTTATAATTATATGTATGTATATATATAGATAGAGATCTTAATAAAATGTATTCTTTTAATGGTGTTTTAATGAGCTGTATCATTTTTTAAAACATTTTTTATAGAAATAAATAAGCAAGCAGCATTCCTTGTGTGTGTGTGTGCGCGCGCACGTGCCTGCTAGCTTGTCCCTCCGTCGGCAGTGACGGGTGTGAGTGAGTGACTACAGACAAATAGATGAGAGAGTTAGCAGCCTTGAAACAGCTTGATGAACTACCCTCCCCACATGTTTTAAAAATGCTAATATGCTATGCTAAATCTGCTATGCTAAATAATGATTTCTCTATAGAACTACAAAGTCCGACTGGGGGAGGAGAGTACAGGTCTACACTATGGAGGGGGGGCGGAGTTTACAGCTCCTCCTCCAGTTTAAAGAGACAGTACCCAAAAACGGCTCGTTCTCAAGACTCTCCTCAGAACAGGGGTAGATGAGGGTCTGTAGAGCAACAATAATGAGGAAATCAGACCAAAGAACTGCAGTTCCACTGTATTTAGACCCCAACTGAAGGATTTAGATGTAAAAAGGAATAACTTAAAAGCATGTTATGTCTCCTTTAAGACATTGAGAGAAAAAAAATAGTTTCAAAAGTAAAACTTACTATCTGAGGCCCTGTCCACATGTAGCCGGGGATCTGCCAAAACTCAGGTACTTTTCTTCGTTTTGGCCTGTCATCCACACGAAAACGGAGTTTTTTCACACGAAAACTGATCTTTTTAAAAACTCCGGCCAAAGAGAAGATCTGTGTTTTCTCCGTTTTGGGTGTCTGCGTGTGGACAGACAAAACCGGAGTTTTAAGGTCCGCAACGTCACTTTCCGCGACAAAAAAAATGCTGACATCACGTGTGCGACCTGTGTTTACACTAGCCGACAGCATGGATGCCCTCAGAGCTGTGCTCGCTTTATCAATTGTCCAAGCGCTTTTTGCTTGTTTGTTTTTGCAAGCGGAATTACTGCTCCTTGCGGAAGACCACAGACGAAGGACGAGGTTAAAAACGGGGAAAGTACTGCCGCCTACAGGTCTGGCATGTCCTTAACAACGTATTTATCCGGGTACGTGTGGACAGTTTTTTTTTAAAACAAGGTGGTGTGGATGCAAGTTTTTGGAGTTTTGGCAGTTACACTTTCTGGCTTTCTCCTTTGCAATCCCTGAGTTTTTGGTTGCAATTCTGACACAACCCTTTTGGGTGGGTGGGACTTCTAAGAAGTCCTCTCCCATAGGACAGTGGTTTCTCTTTAGTGAAAGCTCAGTTACCGGGAAGTGTTGTAGCCTCCAAGACTTTTTTTTCCCACTTCGGGCAACAACATAAATTTTGAGCCCCAAACACATTATTCCTGCTGTATGTGGTGTCTACTGAGGATTTAAAGTGAGTATTGATATATTTTATTTTGTCTTAGGCACTCCTAGTTAATCTGTAAGTTACAGTTTTTTTTTGATTGCTAAAACTCAAAAAGCAAAAATGAGGCACAATTTTCACAACCTCTACTTTTGTTCCCAGTCGCTTGACTCAATTTATCACTACTTAAGATTTCCTTATCATATTAGAACTCTGATTTTCCTCCTTTACACTCTGATGTCAATTTCACATTAGCTTGCTGTCAAAACACAGCACACAATTTTCAGGTTTACACACACTTCTCACATAAATTCTCAAAGCTTCAATCAACAACACACAAATATTCAAATCTCTAAACTTTCGGGTCTGGCGAGCAGTTTGCAATCAGGGACTGCAGCATAAAAGTAAGTTTCCACAAGGCTACCCAGGTGTATGAGTGGTTTCAGGACCACCTACGGTTTTCCATTTTATACCTTCCACCTTATTCCCCCTTCCTCAATCCCACTGAGGAGTTTTTCTCAGCCTGGAGGTGGAAGGTGTACGAAAGGAATCCACAGAGCCAGGTCCCACTGCTTCAAGCCATGGAGGAGGCTGGTAGGGATGTAGCCTTTGAGGCCAGCCGGGGCTTCACTCGAGGCGGTACTTCCAGAGCTGTTTGGACCAGGAGGACATCACCTCTGATGTTGATGAGGCCCTCTGGCCAGACAGAGACCGGCGGTATGATGCCCCATGATTATGCTTGGATGGGGGGGGGGGGGGGGGCAGTAAAAATAAAATGTTTTGTCTCAAAAAAGTGGGCACTGTCATACATTCAGTGTGTAATTCATTGTGTTCCATTTAGACAATTGTGTTTTCAGTTTTGCTCTTCAGTGTTCTTTCCATGCTTGGTAGTGTTCACCCAAAGGCTACTTGTGTTTAAGCAATGAATGGTGTGTGTGTCATGTGAAAATGTGGCTGTGTTTACCAAATGAAAACATGTGTTCCATTTTGGCGACATGTTACGATATGTGATGGCAGGGTTTTGTTGCAAAGGGAAGCCACGGTTTAGGGATTTGTGTGTTATGTTTGGGGGTTTGTGTGTGCAGTTTTGAAAGAAACGTACAGTTTTGAAAAACGTGTTTTAGCGATCGAAAAAAACTGTAAGCCACTTTTTAAGTTGGTTTTAACCAGACGTTAGCTCACTAGATTGCTGCTAAGCTAGCCATTGTGCTAGCCTCAGGACATTGGTCTATTCAGAATTGCAACCAAAAACTCAGGGATTGCAAAGGAGAAAGCCAGAAAGTGTAAGTGCAAATCTGGTAGTGAGAGCAAAGAGCTGAGCAGCAAGAATGAAACAAAAGAAACTGATAACAAAAATGCATAAAGGCAAACAGAAAAAGGAAATATATACTCTTTTTAAGAAGTTGATTCAGATAGGAATGTAGCATTATGAAACGCATGCTCCAATTTTATTGGTTTAGAGCAGTACGCCCTCCGTACGTAGGAGGGCGCTGCTGCTATAAAAGGGGAGCTCTTCCGGTAAGGAAGTAGGTTCGGGAAACAGCTGGTGCCATTATGCCGCTGCGTTTTGGTGCTGCCAGCCCGTGTCCTCAGGCTGCGTTTATGGTGCGATCGGCTCTGCTTCAACCGTGCTTGGGCATTTGGGTCAGTGTTGGGTGTGATGTCATCGCTTGCCTACTGAATCCTCGTTGCTTCTGGGCAGAGAGTTCCCTTCTGTTCAGGCGTTACTAGCAGGAGGACCGATTCCTCCGTGGTCCGGCCGGAGGCGCCGCTGTTTCGTCTTGTTTCCTTTTACTACGTTTTTAAATCAGCTGGTCGAAGGAAGTTCCCCTGGCTCGTGGCTGGAGTCCAGGAGGAAGAACAGCTGATCTGCATCGTACAGATTTTATACAGTTCTATTTTAATTTTGTTTTCTTTGTGCAGGCTGAGGCAGGAGGTGTGGGGTGTGGCCTCGGAGGTGGTGGTCCCGTGTGCGAGTGTGGTGGTGCTGGGTTCTCACGTTGGTATGAATGTTCACTGCTAGGGGTGAATCTTTTATATTTTCTCCTATTTCTGCTGGTTGGGGCTTCTCTGCCCCGAGTCACCTGCCTCCATCACTAGCCTCAGTCCAGCTTGTCAACATATTTTTGTTTGGTTTAAATTCATGGGTTCTGTTCCTGTTGTCATTAATTTTAACATTTTTTATGATATTTTACATGTCCAGTTTTTAAAATGTATTTTAAATTGTTTCTTCTATACAATAAAATAAATTCATTGTAACTTCTGAAACCACGTCTGCTGTCAAGTGGAATGAATCTATGAGCTTTAATTCCTTGGGTGAAATTCCCAAGGTGGCGTTGTTAACTAAATTGCACTCGAGCAGGTACAATTGCCATCCTTGGCGTCAACAGGTCATAGACCACTCCCGTATTGCCACATTTGGCATTGTTGGCAGGATCCACGAGAGCTAGAGACGTGTGTTTTTCAGAATTTTTCTTTTCTCTGTTTTTTTTCTTCTGTATTAATCTTGTTTTTACTTATAGGTTGCGAGACGAAACAGCGGTGCTCTCCTGAAAAAAAAAAACGGCCTAGGAGTTGTTGCATTATTTAGTGGGTAAGGTCAGAGCCGGATTAAATAAATGGACTACACTAGTCAGGCTGCATTTTTAGCCCCCCCCCCCCCCCCCCCCCCCCCCCCCCCCCCTCCATCGATGTTATGTAATGAATTGAAATCTGAAACTTACAAAATTTACTTATAAAAGTTCATTCACATTTTACATTGCCTAGTTTTTGGTTACAAATTGGTTGTTTGTATGCCAAAATAAGTCATGTGTTGTAGGCTGTTGCCTCTGCTGAATCAGAAATTCTGTCAATTTTCTGAGTGTGAACTTATTGTTTTGCTATTTGAACATTAATAAAATTATTTGACAAATAATTAATAAAACCAGCAACACTTACCAAGGAAACCATTTAGCTTTCTCTACTCCGGGATAATCTTCAGCCTTCCAGCATCACAGGCCTCAATCACAGCAGAAACACATCTGAAGAAATGTTCCTTGGTTAAGCTTCAGTCTATGTCTCCAGATTTCCTCTGTGATGCCGAAGAATATCAAATATTTTGAGAGGGATAGTTTAGTGCAAAGTACTCATCAGTTTGGTACCACTTTGCAGGATCAGATGGGTAGCTAGTTGTTAATACCCTTTCTGGATCTAGAGGTAAGACTATATTGGGCTCACTTCTGGCTGGCTGCTGTTCTTCCAGTTTGTCCTTCTGTGAAGGCGCTGATGTTGACGGCGTTGGCGCTACAGCATCTTCCGCCACATCTTCCACTGCGTCTTCGGGTTGTGTCTCCTCCGGGTCTGACTTGGGCCCGGCCTCTGGCTCTGCTGACTCAAGCATGTTCACAGCTGTCGGACGGCTGCCCGAGCAGCCCGACAGAAACTTCTGTAAAGCCCCCCCCCCC